CCCCGCCCCATCGCGGTGCGGGGCCTCGGCCACAGCCCCGGCCCGGCCGCCCTGGCCCCGCCGCGCTCCCTCACCTGCGCCGGGCCCGCCGCGCCCGCCGGCCCCGCTCGCTCCTCAGCAAACTTTTTTTTTTCCCCTTTCTCCGTGTTTCGTTGCCCTCGGAGTGACGCGGGCGGGCGCTGATTGGCGGAGCCCAGGAAGGGAGGCCGCGGGGAGCGGGAGGCGGCGCTTCGGCCCGCGAGTAATTATTACACGGCGACGGCGGCGACGTGAACCACCGAATGCTATTTAAAGGGACAGCGGCCCGCCCGCAGGGGTGACCTGAGGCGAACGCGGCGGCGGGAGGGCGAGTGGGCAGCGCCTGCTGGGGCGGTGGCGTCCGCCCTCCTGGCCCACAAATAAATTCATTTTGCTGTAAAATACCCGCGGATGCACCTGCTGTCGCCCCCGCTGCCCTTCAGAGAAGGGGAAGGTCTCTCCTAGCGGGGTTTCCTGCGGGGCTTAGGGCGCTGTGTGGGCTCAGTCCCTCACAGCTCCCCCTCCTTCTGGGCCCTGTGGGAAGGCAGCGGTGGGCTTGGAGTATCTGCTCGTGTGTAATTGTCACCTGCTTGTGTTTTCTTCTCTCCTTGTGGGGCTCTGAGGAAATCCACTACAGCTTCTTTACATGCACACCATTTTCACCTCACACCTGATACATACTGATTTTTAGTTTTATTTTAATTTTGTTTGGTGGTTTGTTGTTTTTTTTTAATACACTGTCCTCACTTATCACAGCCGGCTGTAGCCCAAACCATGCAGGGAGGTTTTAAAGGCAAGATGGAAGGATGATGAGTGACTTGATGGCTTGAAGCAGATAGGGAGTACAGGATTCCAGGGACGTGAAACAAGCCAAATAAAAGAATTTTATCTGTGGCAGGGGAGAGGAGTGGGCCAAGGCTAGAGTAGCTGCCAGGAGGTGAGCGAAGGAGGAGGGAAGGAAAAGTGTGCAGTTGTGCAGCCAGAGAAGCTGAGGCTGGCTAAAACATGTTCCCATTTTATACAATCACAGAATATACTGAGATGAAATGGACCCATCAGAATCATTGATTTCCTAGGGGTACTGTGAAGATGTTCAGAATTTTGGGTCTTTTTTGAGCAGAGGAAAGCACTGTAAAGGGACACATAAAGATTTCAGCAAAGATTAAATCCAGGCAGAGACTTCTCATTGCTAGGAGCTTGCTGTCACCCACATTGAGAGCTGAGTAGGTAGATCCATAAACCTGGAAAAAGCACTAAAAGGGAAGAAAACACCTTGTTTGTTTGTTTTGAATATCTGAGGTTGGATTAACACTAGAAAATGCTGGTGCAACCAGCATGGAAGTGCTAGCATAGCTTTACAGCTATTTTGGTAGAGATTATTCAGTCTTGGCTGTCTTTGCTGATGCAATAAGTTTTCCAAATGCCAGGCTGCATGAGCAGAAGATGACCTGCATTGCATGTGGGTATCACAGCATTCACCACAACATTATTTGGAGCGCTTTCATGGTCTTGGCAGTAATCATAAGGAGCTGTGGGGAGTGATGATCACATTCCTCCCAGCCTCTCCATGATCATCTCTTTTTAATATGATTTTTTAAAACCCTGAATTCCCTCTGGTTGTTCTTGGACTGCTTTCTTTGTGTCAAGTTTTATGTCATCATTGGAAATATAAATGCAGAATAGTAGGGCACAACATCCTTTGCTTAGGAAAAGGCCGACTGATTGTTCTGCAGTTGCGAGTGACCAGCACAGCAGCTGGCAGAACAGCAGCGTAAATACAAGGGAAATGCAAACAGTGAACAAGACGGACACCTCCTGCCAGGAGTTACTGACCAGCAACACATGGTGCAACAAATGTTAAGTTGTGGCATCAGGTGTCAAGGGGGAGCAGGAGAATGTTCAAATGTGCTCTTACTCAAGTTGCGGATGACGCTCATCAGTTCTCCTGTGCCAAAATGAGAAAACTCAGTTACAATAATGCTGGAGTAGGTGGGTTACTTGGAGCATTTAGAATCACTATGTTTGGTACAGTCGAAAGCTGCCACAGCTCAGAAGAGTGAAACAACCTCTAGCAAAATAGGGAACACAAAGGTTTATTCCATTTGCATTTAAAAAAGCCAGTAATCAAATTGCCTCTGAGGAAGAAAATTCCCAAATAAGATGGCCAGGTTTATTCTTGGGGTAGAAAAAAGGATGCATTTAAAAATTAAATGTACATGTTGTTCCACTGTGAATGAAAAGCATAATATTGAAGAAATAGTGTTCAGTTTTCTGATTTGAGAAACTCAGGACTAATAGGCTAAAAAACCTTGCTGAAGTCAAGTAGGATAAAGATTAAAAGGGAAGCGTATAATCAGAGAAATGGCTAAGGTGTTAACCACCCAGAGAAGGGCACCTTTAGCTTTGAAATCAGCTGAAGAAGTCAAACGTGATTCTGAGCCAGCAGCTGAAAACAAAAGGCTGTTTTCTGTGGACTGCTGCAAAGAAGGAGTTGGAGGATATTGGTCCACCTTAAGTTGATCAGAATCATTTTTAAGAGTGCACAAATGTTCAGTAGGGCACAGGACTGCCTGAAGCATGAGGACCCTGATACTCAGTGGGATGTTCTTCATGGAACAACTTCATTCTACCAGGCATGATTTTGCTTTGACAGGGAAATTCAAAAGAAACTCCAATTAGGCAGGGGATCCCAGTCCAAGCTGAAACACCCAGGAGAGAGGTGAAAGGTTTCCCAGCTGTGCCAGTGATTTGATGATGTATGGCAAAATGGTGAGCGATAATCAGTGAACATTATTTCCTGCTCTATAATGTCACAACTGGAATGGTGTTTATTCTCCTTGACCTTCATTACTCAGATCTGCTTTATATATTAATGCTCCCATCACCTTCATTCCCCAACACAACTTATTTTTATGGTTTTAAGGACTATCTATTCATATACCTCTTTAGAAAATATGGGCACAATTTTTCTGAAAGAGGTTTCTTCTGATTTTTACTCCCTACTTCCAAATCCATTTAATCTATCTGCTAACACAGGACCTTTTCCTTTGGCTCTTTTTATGTTTGCTTCTGCTATAGTGGCTTGTTATTTCTTTTGCTAAAGCTTTAGAAATCACTAGAGGAATCTTAGTAATGTATTCATTTTGAGGTAGATTTATCTTCAGAGCTAGTAAATGGGAAGTCTCTTCTTCACCTCAGTGGGGTTTGGATCTGGTGTTAAGTGCTAACATCATTTCAGTTCTAATCTTGTTGTTTGGGGCCCAGTGTGCAGCTCCTGACTCTGCTGAGATTTTCACCATAAGTTTATTGAGAGCAGAATCAGCCCCTGCTTCCTCAGAGACAGCCTATAAAAATCCGAAAGAAATAAGCACAAGGTCCTTTTGAACAAGTGAATCTTAAATTTTATTTTATTTGATTCTGAGTCTCACTAGATTTCTTTTTTATCCACAGGTACTTTGACCCTGTTCTAAGCCTTATCCTAACAGGATGAACTGGAGTTTCAACTACCCAGGCCTACTGGAAATTTGGCCCAGCAGTTATTTGGCAGTGGCCTTCATGAGCAGCAATGCCAGCTTTCCATGCAATGCCCACATTCAGAGATTTGCAGAATTAGAGTCCAAATTCTGCAAGTCCAGAATGCCACTGACTTCAAGGGGGTTGTAAGATTTTAGCCAAGAGCAAAAATTGGCCCAGGATTTTTTCAGACTCCCTCATGCTTCTGTTTATATGATATTACCATCAAGCTCTATTAGCATGCTCCATGATGCATTTTGCTTTTAAATTACATAAAGGATATTTACTGTGCTGATGCTACATAGTTTGGAAGAAAGAAGCACATATGGAAATGAAAAAACATCAATTACCATCAGGATTTCCAGCTTTCAGCATTCATTTTCCAAAACAACCCAGAGACTATTTCTCATTTAAAAAAAAAAAAAAAAATGAAGCAGAAATGAAAATCCAATTTCTTGGCATTTATGTACGGCATTCTGGACCCTTGCTCATCAAGTCTGTTGTGAAAATGATTGGAATAAAAAAGCCTTGTAATGTTCAAAACTTTAATACTCTGCTTTTGTTTTCTGTATACTGGTTTCCCAATCAGAGACATAAGTCCATCCTTAAGAACAACAAAATGTTTTTCTGCCTCTCAGAGGATGGGAATGAAAAATCATCTGGTGAAAACTGAATGATCACCAAGGATAGTAGGTAAAAACACAGGCAGAAATTGAGAATTAATGGATGAAAGGTGTGAAAACAGGCGAGTGAGATGCCAGGCATCAGACAATGCCCACCGCTGCCCGAAAGCGTCCGAGTGGGCAGTGGGGCCAGCTCATTGCTCCAGGGCCGGCAGCTCATGGGTGCCCTTGGAGCTGCACAGGCTGGGGGCGAGCCGGCTGCTCGGGGACCTTTCCTGGGCAGGGAGGAGGATTCCCCAGGCTGCGCTGCTCTGCTTCGAGTGGGAGCCACCGAGCAACTCAGCATCTTTCAAAATGAGGCAGATCGTGTTGCCACCTGGTTACAAATCTGGGAGCTTCCTTCTAGATAGGCTTGTTTAGAAATCTGGGCTGGGGCCTTTTAAAGCCCTAACGACTCCCTGCTTAAGCTTTTAATATCCATGTTAAGTAGTTCATTGAGCATTCAGGAGAACAGTGTGCCATTGTGGGCTGATGAGTAACTTTAGGCAAAGACGTTATTTTGTACCTCTGTGCTTTTTCTTCTCCCGCATCTGCTTTGTCTGTGTAGATATAAAGTCTTTCAGGGCAGGAGTGGCTCATGCTGTGCGTGTCTAGTCATCAACATAGCAACTCCAGTGTCACTGGGAGCCTCACTGTGCTCCTACCCATAGCACAACCTTCTGAACACGTCTGTCTATGCTTTGGAGATGCTATAGGGCTTGAGTATTAATTACTATTAATTACTATTTAAAATCTGGACTCCTAAGTTCTGTAGCATTAAAGTAGTCATATACCGTAAGTCTTCCACAAATGGGTCAGTGCACAGAAAGACCAGAGGCTATCAACTGCTCTGGCGACCAGCCGCTAAATTGTGAGGACACAGGGACCAGAGATGCTCTAACAGCATGGCTTCGGCCACTGAAAAGTCTTCATGTACTCAGGAAAGTTGGCCCCACCTGTTTCCACACTAGTCCCTGAAATTTAAGGGGAGCAAAGGTCCCATTGTCAGGGCAGCACTGCTTGGTGATCCTTTCATAGCAGCATTCCTTCAGAGACCTTTAAATCCCGTAAAATTTAATGCATCCCTGAAGGTACTCTGAGCCAATTTCTGCTTTTGCAACTTTTTGTTGTCTCCACTGCACGTAGGAGAGCTCTTAGTTCATACTGTGTCACTGGATTCTTGGATTTAGAGGGTTGTTCTGTGTGAATAAACTCAGTGCCTGGACACATCCTGGTGTCTAGAGAGCAAACAATATGCCTGAAGCACCTGTCAAGGATCTAGATACAAATGTCCCAAATGACAAAAATGTCTGTTCAGACTTCTTCCCACCTGCTTAGGAATGCCAGGAGCACCAGACTACTACGGCTTTGGCACTCTTGTTTGTTCTGTCCCTGTCCATCTGACCTTGCTAGCTCAGATAGGCTATTTGTCAATGCCAGAGAAATCTGCTGCAACAACAAAGGGAGTATCTGGTGTCAGTATTCTCCAGCTCCTTGAGGGAACTACCTCATTAGGGAAGCTAAAACATCGCTTTGATTGCTTAGAAGCAAACCATTTGTTTTGCAAAACTCTCCAAGCAGTTACTCACTTCTTGTAAAATTATAATGCCTGAAGTCGTTTTCTAAAGCAGTCTTGGATACTCGAATGGCTGGAAATTTGCAGGTGATCAAATGTTTTACAGCAAAGCAGATCTGATCAGTGTTTCCTTAAATTAGACAATTATTCTTCTCTGTCAAAATAGCATTAGATTTTGATATATTTTAAAAATTAAAACGTTCTACTGGAAAAAGTTATAAAACAGGATATTTCTATAGCTTCACAGATCCTCAAAATGCATTTGAGATTTGTATGCTTTCTTTAGGAAATTTGAAGCTGAGGCTTTTAATACACCTATAGCACATATTTTTGTCTCACAATATCCAAGTATTGTGTCATAATCAGCTTTGATCTCTCTCATTAACTTTGGCAGAGGACATCAAGCTGAGATGGGATGACTGCTGTCCTGGTATTCTCCCTCAGAAGAATACCTTTAGGAAGATTGATAGCTGGGGCTGCCTTTGGGTAGTACCTTTCATTCAAGAATTCTAAAGCAATCACAGAAATTCCCAAGTATTCCCAGTGAGAAACTGGGCACAGCCCTGCTGCCTTTCTACAGTGTACTTTGCTCATTGTATCACATCAGGAGGGACAGAGTCTATCCATCTCTCTCCTCTGCACTGCCAGTTTCCCAGGGAATTGCTAGTGAACACAGATTACAGACCATGCTCCTTGCACTCCACGTAGGTACAAGGAAGGTGCAGAGAGGGAGAGGTATCGTGTTCCTGTTCTCCTGTAACAGATGGAAATCCCTTGGGTAGTATCACATTTGAGCAGCTCCTGCACAGCTGTAGCCCATGTGAGAACCACAGTGACAGAGCAGAGGCCTGTCCATTCTCATTCCTACCCTATCCCTGATACATTTCATAAAAGCAGATCTCGTCCAGCTGATATACTGTTTAATTTAATTTAAGATGAAGAAACTCTGATGCCTGATTCCCTATACTGTCTTTTCATGTCTTGTGCACTGCCCAGGAGATAGTAAAAGCCATACTAGCAACTTACCTGAGCTACACACAGGAAATGCCCAATGGACTTCCTGAGAAAAGTACACACAGAACAAGATTAAGGATTTGAATCATTGACAGGTCTACGGTTGAAGAGCAATAAATCACACCTCTCTCCCAGCTTGCTTCTCTCTGTTTCCTCCTTACTTTTCTACTTCTCCTCTTCTAAATGGAAGGGGACATCTTTCAGGCTTGCAAAATCTCCCCTCCTGTGGGAAATTGCTAATGATCAGAATTGCTGCAATAAAGAACAAGTTGTGCAGAGAGAGAGCAGCATACCACAGTAGAGCACTGCAGTGTTTTAGCTTTTTCCTTTTTACTTCAAAAACTCTGGTATTCCTGAAAGTCACACCTCCTAGAGTATAGTGTCCTGCATGTGAAGATAAAGTGGGTTTCTATGCAGTCCAGCCATGAAAATGTTGGGGTGTGTAAGTAATGTAAGGTCTTCATCAATACTGCCTTGTAAAATCTGCTTTATATTCTGCTTTGTTCTTTTATCTAGCATTCTCTAGGATGTGCTTGCAAATATTTATTTTCCCTAATTTCTTTTCCTTAACTGAGGCAAAATATTTACACACCCCACACCAAGCTCAAAAAGAATGGTGCTTAGTATACTACTGCTGTTCATTTGCTGGCATACCTAATTACACTGTTGAAAAGGTCAACATTAAGTTATGTCTGCATGGCTGTTATGTAACACAGGTGTGCTCAGCCCACCTTCAGCTGAAGTTCAGGCTCTGCTACCAGCAGCCATCACTGAACCATGTGGGCTGCAAAACCAATCAGAATAATATTCATTGACTCACTCAACCATGCCAAACTCTGGCTTTAACAACTTCAGTATTATTGGTAGTCAAACCAGCTTGTGAAGACCTTGTCCAGCATGTACCTACACAGCAGTGATCACAGCTCTGGGTCACAACTCTCCAGATGAGCACTGGTGGGGATGGCCACAGAAGGATATGGTTCATCAACCCCCTGTGTCTGCATCTTTCCTCTCTGTGAGATGCTTCCACCTCTCTGGTAGGGACTGGAGAAAGGGATGGACACCTAGTTTATAATTCAGCTGGCCCAGCTCACAGCTGAAGGCTGTGGTGGAGGTGCATTGGTGCTAAAATGCTGGATTATGAATTGTGGTACAGACACACAACCTTTTGTGCTATTTTATGCTACAATAGTGTCTGCAGAAAATACCATGAGAAGCACTGATCATATACAAAACTACTGATAACTGTGCTGGAGCTGGGCTGCCAGAGCCCATACTGCCGGAAGAGAGGAATTGGAAGAAACACAAACCATAAACCAGAAGACTTTCTACTAACCCAACATCCCAGGGTAGTTCAAAATTAATATTAAGTCTTGAGTAAATCAGAGAAAGCAGAGCAATAAGTAAAACAGGGGAAATAATACCTAACAAAAAGTTACTTCTCTGGGATGTTTTTCTGAATGCTACAACAGATCTTCTGTATGATCTCGGGCAAAATGCACAATTTCCCTCTGCCATGATGTTAGATAATACTTCCCTACCTTATAATCCCTCATGTTGTGAACTGCTGAGTGTCAAAGAGTGCTTATTATGTAGGATTATATCAAGTCCTGACGAAGGGAGAGGACCTGCAGAAGGCAGATAAAAATGGGATGAGTTTCGTTGTCCTTGAAGTCATCAGGAGTTGAGGGCATGGGTGATGCTCAGGTGGCCTCAGGCTCAGCCTCTTGCTAAGAAAGCATTTCTCTAACCAGCATCCAGGGAGCAGATCTAGCATTGGGACAAGTATTTACACTCACAGTACTCAGGGGATAACTTGATTAATTGCCAAAAAATGTGGTTTGATTTCTCATTGACACCAGTTTAGAAAATATTTCAGTGGAGTCAGGGCTGATTCCTCCCCTGAAGAATGAGCTCCTAGTAAGGTCTTGAGAAATGTCTGAGTAAATGTCTGGAGGAAGACAAGGGTGGGTGTTAGCAGGTGACTGGGCATGTTACCCCTTACAGTGTTACATATATTAAATGGAGTAAGACACAATAGGAAACACTGTAGAGTGCCAGCATTTGGGAAGACATCAGTACCTGGAATTCATCTGATGGATAAATCAAGTATTGACTTATGTATAGCAGAGAATTAACATTTCAGCTTTGCAGCATTCTTTGTCATGCCCAGGTAATTAAAAGAATGCCACTGCACCTGGTAGAACTGTAAAAATATTCTTCTAAAAATCTCCGCAGCATTTAATATTTTATTCATTATTGTGTTGTTGTGT